TGGGGTCCTGCAGCTTCCCCTGGGTGCCGTTTACCTGGACCCCAGGGGGCAAAAATGCAGCCAGCCATGCACTTGAGACTTGTGTCCTAGTATGTGTGCTTTCCTCCTCACTGGAACCAGTCCCTGGCGTCTGACCTGAGGGCTGGACGGCCCAGGCCTGCAGAGGGACAGGGCCTCCTGCCCTCCCTCACCTGGGGGGTGTCCCTCGCGCCGCCTGACCAGGCCACCTTTGGCATGCTCCGGGGCTCAGGCAGAGCACCCAGGGGACCCATCTGCGACCCTCTAACCATCCAAAATGTTTCTGTGACAAAGCCGGTGCAGCGTGCCAGGTCACGGGGCCCTCCCGCGAGGCGGCTGCACGCCTCACCACATCCTCCCCTGCTGCCTGCCCGCTCGAGGGCTGAGCAGGGACACAGACCACAGGCCCTTACTGAGGACGGAAGCCCCCGCGCTGCTTTCTTCTGGACCCTCTGCCTAGCCAGTGCAGCCCCTCCCCCAGAGCTGTGGCCTCAGGACTTGGGTGGAGGGAGTGAAGCTCTAAGGTTAGGACCCCCGGAGCCACTGCCGCTGGGCCGGTGTGGGCCCCGAGCCAGACGGAGGGCCCTGACTCCCAGCCCTGCCTCTTTCCCACTGAGCCACTCCGCCTCGCCTGAAGTTAATCAGGAGACGAGCTTGAGCCTGGCTGGGGCTGTGCGGGGCTCTGCTGGGATCCTGTGACTCATGCAGCCCTGCACTCCCCTCCTCCCCCTGGCCCCGGGCAGGCTCCCATGGGGCTCCCCTGGCACCTCGCGCACACAGAGGTGGGCTGAGATCTCGCAGAAGACAAGGCTCTGGTCTGGGAAGACACACTGGCCTCGTCTGTGCTCGGCAGCCCCCCTTGGTGCTCCTGGATGGCCTCTCTAGTCCCTTCTCCCCACACTTCCTGGGCTGAGGAGCACGGGCACGCACGGGGCCTCAGTGCCTGGCGCCTCTGTTGTCTGGGGGGGTGGGCCCCAGACAACGCTGGTCCCACTCAGAGCACGCGGCCCCCTGGCCCCCAGAGCCAAACGCAGGGCCAGCCTTGTGACATTTGCCCCATCTTGAGGAGGCCTGGGCTGGCCCCGGCCTCGCTGACAAATGCAGAATTCAGGAGGCAGCAGCAGCGATGTGGACGAAAGCCAGGCCGCAGCGGCCTCACTGGAAAAGAGAAACTTGAACGTCTTGGCGTGAGATTCTGCAGGGTCCAGGAGAAAGTTGAAGACATGGAAATTCTAATTAACGCGCGCGGGGCTGGTTTTGCTCAAGGATTTGTGAAACTGTCATGTCACAAGAGGCCAGGCAGGCCTGTGCTCGCCGGGGAGGTGCACCAGTCACTAGTGGCACTCTGCAGCGCCCTGGCCCACATCCCCACTTTCCCTCGGCCTCTTCCACACTTCCTAGATGCAGCCTGGGGGCCCTGGCTCTCCCCCGCCCACCCTGGTCGGCACGGTGCCTCCACAGTGCTCCCCTGCAAAGACGGATGGGGTAGCCTCAGGGGCATTGGCTGGGCTGGCCCCATCTAACGCCACAACAGAAAAGACCAGCTCTCAGGGAGCGAGCATTCCAGCAGCCACCCAGCCAGGCCAGGCCAGGCCCAGTGGGCTCCCAGAGAGCCTGGCCCCGGAGGCCATCGTCTCTCCTGGGCACTCATGTGCAGACGTGTGTGATCCAGGCCATTCTGCCGGCTTGGGCGGGGCAGGGGAAGGGGAGGACCCCACAGCCATGTTCACAGCCTCCGGGGCTGCTTGGAGCGTCTTCCCAAGCTGACACTGGCACACGTCCTCCAAGCTCAGTGCCCGAGGCCCCATGTCCCTGGCCTGCAGGGCACTCGTGGGAGGTGCCCTGCCTCTGCGGCATCTCCTCGGGCAGTGCGTCTGGGTGGGAGAGGTGGTCCTGGGCCTGCTCTGCGCCTGGAGCTTTGTGGGGAGGGGGCCAGCGAGGGAAGATGTTAGGGGTGGTCCGTGCCCTCCTGGCAATTTGGGGAGATGGTACCGAGGCCCTGGGAGGCTGCGGGGAGCTGGGGTGGGCCACAGGGCTCCCCGAGGTGGGGATGACTGAGCAGACACTGGAAAGATGCATAGCAATGTGATGGCTGTGGATGAGTGCAGGGAGCATGCCAGAGGGTGGGGCACCACATGCAAGGCACGAGATGCCCTTCAACTGCTGCACCAGCGACCCCTGACCCTAACCAGGGCCAAGCCCCTGCCATGGTGTGGGTGCTCTCGGCCTTGCAGAGGTCTCCTGCCAGTGTCCCACAGCAGGGCTCTGGGCTCAGGGAGCAGGAGGTAGATATGAACCCTTCCCTCTAGGAAGGGAGGGTCAGTGTGAGGCCAAGGCCAGCTGCCCAGAGCTGTGCTAGGGCCTGGGGCCGTGCAGGGAGCTGCAGGGTTTGCGTGGCGGGCTGGGGGAGGGGCACAGACCGCTCTCCAGTGCCTGCATCTGGCCCACTTGCCAGCCACTCCTTAGCGGTGCCAAGCCTGCTCCCCAGCTTCTCACTGCTGCTCTGCCGCTGGCCAACAGGCCCCGGAAAGGGGCTTCGAGCAGCCGCAGGGGCCTTCCCGTAATCAAGGCTGCAGTGACCTCACCTCCCTGGGGCCCTGCGGTGGGGAGAGCTCGAGATGGAAACAAAATGTGTCTTTATTTATGCTTTTAATTTGAATTCTGGAACAGGCCCAGCATGGTGATACGTTCAACATCAGTAAAATGCTGAAGAAAATGGGTCTGTTTTTTAGCAGTTAGCTCCCGCCCACTCTGCCCTCTGCGAGACACCCGTGTCCAGCCCCGTCCCTTGCAAACACACCAGGCGTGTGCCTCTTTTCCCCACACGGGTCCTTGGGCCACAGGAGCTGTGTGCTGGCTCCAAGTGTCACCAGGTGGGCAGCAGAAGGCCTGGGCTCCCTTGCCCACAGGAGGCCGAGGCTCTGAGTAAACAGGGCAGCTGCCAGGGCCCACTTTCTCCTCAAGGCCTGGCAGGGCACTTTATGCCGTGTCCTGTCTCCCTACAGGCTCCCCAGAGTGGGCAGCACACTGACTCCTGCACATCGGCTCACAGAACCCTCGTCCCCCTCACCCGGCCCCCACCTCAGCTCTCACCTGAGGGCCACCCCACCCTCAGGCTGGCTCCTGTTCAGTTACTGCTTTGGAAGGGCCAGCTCTGGGAAAGCCTGGGTGGGTTCCAGGGCAGGGACCTGGCTGTGTGAAGATGGGTCGCCTGTGGTCTACCCCAGTAGGCCCCCCAGCATTCCCGGGAGTGCTGACCTGGGAAGGCCCACAGAGCCTCGCTGGACAGTGGAACACAAGACCCATACAGGCAGAGAGCTTGGGCTGTCCAGGTGTTTCAGGTTCCATTACCTTGGAAAGGGGCACAGAACGGCATGATGCCCTGGGCCACACAGCCACACGGTCCTGGGGCAGTGGGCAGCTGCTGGCTCCAGGGAGCTTGCAGGGTGCTGATGCCAGCGTGGGCAGCCCATACCCGCCTCCAACGCACACACCCCAGGTGTCAAGGCAGTTTCGGGCCTGGCTAGGAGCCACATCAGTCCCCAGTTCTCCACATTCACCTGGGCTTCCTGCAGGGGCCTCCTAGGGCTAGGTGGACGGCGGGTTCTGGGCTGATTCTTTGGCGTCTGCTCCATGACTAAGAGAATGAACTCCAAGAGGAGGTGACTGGCCAGGAGAACAAGAATGGCCAGGCCAAGTAGTCCCGTGAGGTCTGGGTGGTGTCTGGGTGCAAACTGTGGGGCCTGTTGGGGTTCCCAGGCTTCCTGCCATCCCCCTGCCAAGTAGCTCCGAGGCTTATCCCGTGGTGGACAGGGCACAGCGGCTCAAGCCCACAGTGCCAGCCTGGTTCTGCCCTCCTGCATGGACCTGTAGATGCCCAGCCCATCTGTGTGGAGTTGGCTCCACGGCCCCATTCCTGGGGGTGTCCACCAAGCTGTGTCGCCTCTAATTTCCAGTTACAACTGGCTTCCCGTCTCCTGCTCCATCCTTGCTGGGAGCCTGGGAAGACCGCTGGCAGGTCCTGTCTGACCGGAGTCACACATCAAGGCTGCTTGGCCCTCCCCGGGATGGCCTTCTCGGGCCCCCTGACCACGCCAGCCTCTGGCTCCACGAGCAGCCTTCAGCCCTCTGCATCCCAGGGTCCTCCGGCACCCAGAGGCCAGCTCCACAGCTGGCTGGCAGCCTCCCCTGACCAAGGCACGCGCAGTCCAGGACGGCCTGAACCCAGAATCTGAGGAACAGAACCGACGGCGGAGACAAGGGGGGAGTCCAGCAAGGGACCTGAGAAGGGCTGCAGGTGGCGCGCACAGACGCTCGTCGAGGGGAGCTCCCTGCAGGGCGGCAGCAAACGAGCCCGCGTGCCCCACTGACCCCAGCACACAGCCGTCCCCGCTGGGTGCCCCTGCCGCGGGGGGGATCACAGCCTGGCTGGGCACCGATGACCGGCCTGGCGATGCTGTGGCGGCGGGGGAGGACGGGCATGCATCCCAGGCCAGCTGTGCCTCGGGGCAAGGCCAACTGGAAGGCGTGGAAAATCAGCCACTTGCTCCACCTGAAGGAGCCCCTGAGGACAGCAGTGGCAACTGGCAGACAGAAGCCGGCATCTGCCCCGTGGCTTTGGCCAGGGTTCCACTGGGAGACGCGAAAACACAACGTCGCCTCTTTCTGGGGAGCGGGGGAAGGGGCGTGCGAGAGAAAAATAACCTCAGACGCGCAGAGCACGGACGCAAGTGGAAAGCAATCAGTCTGCTTTCCCATAAATCAGAACAAGAGGACCCTGTTCCCAGCCGCGGGGGAATCCCCGCTCTCCTCCTTGCCTGGTGCCTGGGTGCTGGGGCTGGGCCCCGGTGGCCAGCGGCCCTGGCTTCCTGAGGCAGGTGATGGCTGGCAACCTCTGGGCAAGCAGACGGCGCCCTGGTTGGAAAGGACCCCTCCCCTGGTGCGAGGCTGCCCTGTGGCTGCCTGGGCACGCGGGCACTCACTGTGACACGTGGGTGATGGGGGCCAGCAGCGTCTCCCCTTCCAGATCCAGGTCCTCGGCGAAGCTGTTGGTTCTCAGGAACTGGGGCGTGCTCACTTCCAGCAGCGCGGGGCTCTTCCTCACTGTGGGCAAAGTGTGGGACATAGCAGGTTAGACCCAGGGTGTGCTAGAGTTCCCGTCAAGTGCCCTCCCCCACCAGCCACTGCCACGAGAAGGAGCCATGAGCTCGCACACCAAGTGATTTGTGGAGAGTGTGCCTGGAAGCTACAGCCCTGCTCAGCCGAGACTCAGTGGTCAAGGAAAACACAGGCCAGTGTAACTGGGCCTGGCCTGAGCTCAGGTTGCCCAGGCAAGATGGAGCACAGAAGGGAGGCAGGAAGAATGTGGCTGAGATTGTCCTGGAAAACAGTATTTGAAATGGATGCACGGGCTAACGGCAAAAGGACTGTCAGGATCCCTGTACTCTAGCTGGCAAGTTAGGGTCCTACCAGGAGGCGGGGAGGGGTGAGGGTGAACACTGTGGTCAGGGACATCGGGATGAGATGCGGTCAGCTCAGTACAGTGTTCACAGGGACACACACGTATGAACACTGGGCTACGTGCATGCACCTATGTCCTCGCTTTGCCCACTGAGAGGAGACAGAAGCCATGACACACCGGTGGCAAGGAGCACACCTAGTCCAGACGCTGTTTCTAAACACCGTTCATTCTCCAACGAAAGGAACGCTTCTGGCTAAACGGGGGACTCCAGGGCCAGGGCCACACAGCATGAGTGTGAAGGCTGGCGTCGTGCCAGGAAGGAAGGGGCTGCTAAAACATCAATGAAAAGGATGGATGACCAAGCCAATGACCAGAGCTGGAACAACTGGAGCAACGAAATAACCATAGTGTTGGACTGTAATGCAAAGATATTCCAAGTCTATTCTGATAAAGTTTAAAGAGAGGACAGGGACAAATTTTTCTTACAGAAGAATTCCAAGTAAGTGTAGAAGGCATGAAGAAAATGGAAATGTACCAGCAGTAGTGTTTGCTACGGGAAATAGCCGTGGATGAATGCTAAAATTAGAAGACGAAAGTTTAGGGAGACACTTCAAAGTATCCCCCCACCCAGAACATGTTTTCATTGCTGTGGTGGTTTGAGCAAACGTGCACAGATTCTCTGATGCTTTCCTGCAGTGAGCTCCCCTCCCCTCGAGTTTTGGTTGGACTTAGTGACTTGCTTCGAAAGACTGGACCATGGAAAGGGAAAAACAGCAAATCGGTTACAGGGGAGGAACCCGTCCAGCATCATGCTAACCAATCAGGTCCAGGCTGACATCACTGATGACAAATTAAGTTGATGTCATGGAGTAGTGACAGGACACGATGAGAAAAATTAGCTCATCTTGGTGACTTTCTTCTTCCAAAGCATGAACCGTAGTCTAATCCTTTGAAATCACACAGACCCAGACTGAGTGACACCGACACTCAACCAGTGTTCTTCAGAAGTCATGAGGTCGTCTCAAGGGCACGAAGAAGGTGACTTGAAAAGCTGTCAGAGAGCAAGAGGAGATTACGGACACTGCTGCAAAAACAGAAGCCTGACTCTACCGTGGGGGTCACGAAGCACACGGCGTCGGGCACCTGGGGTCAGTGAGTGACCTGTCTCTGATCTGCACAACGCACCGTGCAAGCCGGCGACACGGAAGCAAGGACCCTGTGTCCCTCTCTTCCGTAACAAGACCAGACCCCGAATGCAGTGGAGCCTTACATATAAAGCTTTGATGACAACACTGAAGAGGACATAAGCACATGGAGAAGACTCAGCACTGGAGAGGTTCTCTCTCAATGTTAGTAAGTCTCTCCAAATCTCAGTGAAAGTCTCAGGCTGCACACGTGAGGCTCCTGACCAGATGATTCAAGAACTTACTTGGAAGCGCAAACAGCCAAGAACTGGCAGTATTCTTGGAGAACAGAGAGAGAACTTGATCTACCCGACATCAGGGCTTCTTCCAAAGCTGTCATCATTAGGCCAGCATGGTGCCGATGCAAACAGACACACGTGAGCCGACAGGACAGGACCAAGCATCGGGAAGTAGCCCCGGCCCTGATGACGGACGCTCACGTATCGAGGGAGCGGCATATCACAGGACAAGGATGGACTTGGCAGGAAAACATCCAAGGGGAACCGGCTACCTGCATCGGGGAAGCATGCTGGGCCCTGAGCGACCTCACGCACGAGGATCCGTTCCTGGCGTTCTAGGGGATCATGAAAAGCAAAGCTATAAGGCACGTATAAGACCTCATGGCCAAAATACATCTTAGCGAAAAGAACCATGAAACAATAGTTCCCACAAAATACAAAGAACTCCCTCTAGTCACTAAGAAAAATATAAATGACCTCATTAAAAAATGGCCACCTCACAAGCACATCACAAAAGTGCAATCCAGAAAGGCCAGTGAGCACATGGAAAGGTGTTGCGCCTGACTAGCAATCAGGGGACGTAAACAAACTCCGCGCTCCCGGCGAGGGCAGGGCAGACTTCCACCGGAAATGCACAGACGCCACTGAGCCGTAGCTGGGCAAAGGGGTCCCTGCCCGCGACATCCTCGGAGGACCAAGCGAGGACCGGCGAACTCAGGTCTACAGGCCCGTGGCCCGTGCGTTGCTTGTCGCTACTCCCATGCTAGGGATCTGGGGCTGATTCGAGTACCCTGGTTTACATTATTTAGCTGTCAAATGACAGATCTAAAACTTGATCCAGGATTCAGGTGTTCCTTTGCAGAAGACGACACATGAGCGCGTACTTCAGTGTCTAGGTCACTTGTGTATGGAAGGAAGGAGCGGATGGCACAGTCAGGACGGAACGAGAGTTGTTTTCCAGATCCCCAGAGTGACAGGTGCTGTCTGTGAGGCCTGAGGGCCAAGGCTGAGCTACCCCCTGAGAAAGGCGCAACCCTGGTGCGTGCGCATCAGTTGGCTGCCGGGAGCGGGTGGGACCTGCACCTGCCAGAAAGGAATGTGTGCTCTTTGGTTTAATCCTGGGAAGGGCACATGTGGCCCCTGCAGTGAAGGGCACAGCGTGGGGGGGGGGGGGTTCCACAGGGCTGTTTATCCAAATCAAAAGGAGAAGCTGTGGTCTGTTCACTGGTGTTGGGGGGAGACTGGAGGGGCTCCCCTTCCATGGGGAGGCAGTGACAGGGTGGGCACCTCTTTGCTCCCACCTGCAGTCAAAGCCAGGCCAGGCATCTAGAAGGTGGTGGAGGGGACTTGGGGGTAGAATTCTGCCCCTCCCAGATGTAGTGGTGCTGCCCTCTTCAGGCAAGGACCTGGGGCAATTGGTGCACCCCAAGAAGCCCAACCACCCGCCACCCCAGCCCCGTGCACAATGAGCTCAAACTTAATCTTTCGGAAAGATGAGCAGTCACCAGACAGCTCTGAACCTGCAGCTGCAGACAGGCCCAGCCCAGGAAGGACTCGAGGAGGCAGCTCATGTTGACACCAGGCCCCACAGAGGGCACAGGGCAGTGCTGGATACCTGCTCCTGAACTGTCCCAAGTGCACGGCTCTGGGAAAAGCACCATGGCCTGGGGACAGCAAAGTCACACTTTCCTGAGACGGTCCCAGAGTTCTACGCTTTCATTCTCTGGCCGCCTTTGCCTGTCAAGGCCAGAGTCTGGGCCTAGATTTTCAGAGCAGAACAAAACAATTTTGTTTTCTAGGAAAATGGGAGGTCTGGGATGGCGAATGCTGCTGCAGGCGTGGTAACTGCCCCAGCTGGGGCCGCCGGCTGCCAAGTCTCACCCTCTCTCAGGAGAACCAGAACCACTCAGCCCAGCATCTTCCCTCCTTGCCCATGGACCTGCTCAACTGGGAGATCTTCATCTCATTGAAAGGGTGTAGGCAGAGACACTGGGAGGAAGCGGATCGAACGTTACGTCGTGTCTGGGCAGGCGGAGTTCAGGCACCTCTTTTCCTTCCTTGGCGCACTTGTGCCTTCTATTTGGAAGAGCAGTGTCACAGGACAGGAAACCGTAATTTGTGGAAATCTCCCGGATTCGTGTCTCACTTGGTCAGCACATGGCCCTTTGTGTGCTATCCTGATAGCAGAATTCATCAGCTCACCCTTTGTCCTCCACACGGCTCACAGCTGTGACGAGTCCTCCCTGCCACACGGACCTTCAAGGGCTGCCCCGAAGGGTGTCAGCTCCCACTTCCCCGACCTCCACAAGCACCAGGTCAGCATTCGGGCAGCAAGTGTCTACCCAGGCCGGCCTCTGCCCTCTGCCTGCAGGACAGTCTTGCCTAGGGCGGAGCCCTTCCACAGTAATGTCCCCGGCTGCTCATCCCGTGCCCCCTCCTGACTGACTAAAATCTTGCCTGATCTCTCAGGTGAGCCCAAGCCTTCTCGCTCTACCAGCTTGCTGAGGCCCCAGTGACTGCCCCTCCCCGGGTGGCCGTGGGATACATGTGCCCGGCCCTCCCCCAAGTCCTTCCAGGGCCTTGGCCCAGGTGGATCCGAGCCAGCCCCCGCCAGGGGGATAAACAGGAGCTGTTCCTGCCCTTCCTGGGGCCCCTCAAGGAATCTCGCCCTGCACTGCCCCCGGGATGGAGATTCCCTAAAGCTCTACGGATCCTGCACTGTGACGGAGCAGCCTCCCCAGGGCATCCGAACAGCTGCAGCCAGGCTCTGCGTGACTCTGCTGAGCCGCAGCCCACAGCCTGTGCCAGCTGCCTGTGCCCGGTTCACAGCCCTCGAGCCAGAGCGGCCCCGCCACCACCTGTGTCTCTCCTCAGAGGCGAGAAGCAAGGGACGTGGAGAGAACGTGCAAAAGCCATTCCCACGACAGCTGCCAGGAACCAGGCGCGGTGAAAGCGCACACGCACAGCTGGCCTCCAGCTCCGACCAGGGAAATACCTTGCCTGAGTGCGCACCTGTTGTTTTCGCCTGCCCACAGCCAGGCCTGGCTCTGGGAACAGAGTCTGGATCTTCCCTGAGGGCCCCTCTTTTCCCACTCCCAGTGTGTGGGGTTAGGTGTCCCCTGGATATCCCCAGCAGCAGCACTGTGGCGTGGCCCAGGCCTGGCTGCAGGTCCAAGGGTGGCTCTTGTGCTGGCTGGGGCTTATCAGAAGCTGGCCCGA